GCCTGAGCCCGCGGGTTCCAGACCCGCCCGGGCAACTTGGCGAGACCTCATCTCTACAATAAATCAAAAGTTAGCTGTTGTGGTAGCGCACGCCTGTAATTCCGGCTACTTGGGAGGCTGAGGTGGAAGGACCACTGGAGCCCAGCAGGCCGAGGCTGCGGTGGCTGGGAGCGTGCCCCTGCGCTCCAATCTGGGAGACAGAGTGAGACTCCAACTCAAAAAAAGAAAAAAAAAAAAAAAAAAGAAACTACGTACCCTGGCGGCGTCAAACATATTTTTTCTTGGATCCAATTCGCGTGGTTCAAAACTGGGCTCTGCTATTGTTGCTCGTCGTTGAACTTGCCCTTTGGCCTTCCTGGGCCTTGGTTTCCCTGTTCTACTTGTTTCAACTTTAGGTCATTAACTCTTCATTAGTTTTTAAGAAACAGGAACTACAAGTACTAGAGCCATGCTCTCCGGGTTCAGATACTACCTCTGCTGCTTCGTCTGCAGCCTTTCAACAGATTATTTAGCTCTCAGCTTCAGTTTCCTCACCTGTGAAATGGAAGTCATAGTAGCAGTGTCCATGTCATAGGGATGTTGTGACTTTAGACGCGGTATGTGCCTGGCACATAGCCCTCAGTAAATGCTAGATTTCATTAAGTTGTATTTTGGGTTTTTTTTGTTTTTGAGTTGGAGTCTCACTCCATCGCCCAGACTGGAGTGCAGTGGCCGCTCCCGGCCACCGCAGCCTCCATCTGCTGGGCTCCGGCGGTCCTTCCACCTCAGCCTTCCAAGTAGCCGGAACTACAGGGGGGCACTGCCATGCCCGGCTAATTTTTTTTTTATTTTAGAGACTAGGTCTCGCCAAGTTGCCTGGGCGAGTCTAGAACCCGTGGGCTCAGGCAATCCACTCGCCTCAGCCTCCCAAAGCGCTGGGATTACAGGCTGAGCCACCGAGCCCGGCTGTTTTTATTTATTTATTTTTATTTTTTATTATAACATCATTGTGCACCATCTCCGTAAACCTTGTTCTCAGGTGAGAAACTGAGGCTTTTAAGGAGGGGAGGTGACTTGCCCAAGGTTACACAGCTAATAAGCAGCCCTCCAGGCCCCTGACGCATACCCTGCTGACTCAAAGACATTGGCTTTTCTTTTCTTTTTTTTTTTGAGTTGGAGTCTCACTCCGTCACCCAGACTGGAGTGCAGTGGCCGCTCCCGGCCACCGCAGCCTCAACCTGCTGGGCTCCGGCAATCCTTCCCCCTCAGTCTGCCAAGTAGCCTGAATTACAAGCATGCGCTACCACGCCCAGCTGATTTTTTGATTCATTGTAGAGATGGGGTCTCGCCAATTTGCCCAGGCGGGTTGTGAACGGCATTGGCTTTTCACGTGTATGCTTCTTTCATTAGTATTTTTAGGCACCTGTCTTACACTAGGACATTGTTAGGTGCTGGGAGATCTGGAGAAAAATTCAGTAGCAAACAGAGGCATCACTGCCCTTATAGAGATTTAATGATGATTTAAAGACGTTAATTTGTGTGTTCATATTTTCTGTTTTTACCCTCTCTGATATAAATTCCATGAAGCAGGATCGTAGCTGCCTTGTTTATTCTGTGTCCCCATTGATAGTCTCTATGTTTCTAGAAAAGTATCTTGAGCCTGATTGATGTTAAGCAAAGATTCAGTGGCTAGGTTTGTGTTCTCATGTTACAGTAGCAGAAACTGAGGCTTATAAAAGTGAATATAACTTTAAGGTTACACAACTAATAGGGAAGAGAGCTGGGATTGTACCCCATTCTTTCTGACTACCCAGATGGATCTCTAAGCCAGCACACCGCCCAGTCTGTTTGTGTCTTCATGGGGAATAAGAGTGACAAATGAAGTCCAGCCCTAAGGAGTGGTTTGGGGAAAGAGGAGGAAACTTTGGCAGTCCTAAACCTAGCTGTGGGGTGGTCTCAGGCATAGTCCTGCAGGATACTAGCGGGGAACCTTCCACATGAGTTAAGTTGTACCATTATCTGCAGCATTTCTAAATCTTTTTCCTGAAATAAGTAGAGACGGAAACACTAGCTCAAGCTTTGAAAATTAAGCTTACCACTAAAAAACAAGAATCCAACCCAATAACCAACCACTGGTTTCTTGGTTACAGGAATATCTGCCCCTGTTGTCTTTTTTGTGGACTATGCTTCCAACTGCTTGTATATGGAAGAAATCGAAGGCTCCGTGACTGTTCGAGATTATATTCAGTCCACCTTGGAGACTGAAAAAACTCCCCAGAGTCTCTTCAGCTTAGCCAAAACAGTTGGGCATGTTTTGGCTCGAATGCACGATGTAGACCTCATTCACGGCGACCTCACCACCTCCAACATGCTTCTGAAGCCCCCGCTGGCACAGCTGAGCATCGTGCTCATCGACTTCGGACTGAGCTTCATTTCGGCACTGCCGGAGGACAAGGGCGTGGATCTCTACGTCCTGGAGAAGGCCTTCCTCAGCACCCATCCCAACACAGAAGCGGTGTTTGCAGCCTTTCTGGAGAGCTACTCCACCTCCTCCAAGAAGGCCAGACCAGTGCTAAAAAAGCTGGACGAGGTGCGCCTGCGAGGAAGAAAGAGGTCCATGGTTGGGTAGGAGACTGTGGCAGCTGCTCGGTTGATGCTTTTTCAAAGAAGACTTGAAGGAGTACTACGTTGATGAGATTCGACCTACGTAAAGTTGTGCGGGTGTTTTTAGGTGGTGTCCTGATCATACTTGGTGAGCGTCATGACCTGCAACTTGCTGCTCTCAGGACTGACCATGCATGGAAGATGTGTTCTGGGCAGACAGGGTATCTAACCTCAGTCATGGCCAGGCTCTCTCTCAGCTTGTGACATGAATGCCTCATGCACATGGGTTTGGCATTGAGTGATATAATGAGATCATTATTCTCTTCAGTGCTGGTGAGGCAAGGACAAAGTCTCACTTGGCAATGGTGTTTTGTCAGCCTCTAACCCAGCATATTTTTGTTGCGTGCATGATATATTCATCTTGAAACCAATTTTGTGGGATACAACCAGCATTTTAAAAATGAAAGAATCACAGACTAGAAAATATCAGTGCATTGTTTTATAAAGCTTGTTTCAAATGTATATATTGACAAGGGTATATACTGGGTTTTGTTGTAAAATATATTTATCTTTGAGGGTTGATTAAAATATGTAAAATTAGCTTAACTTCAATTTTTCTTTCATAGAAAAGCAGGATTATAGCTCTCAGGCAACTGAAATTGATGTACCATTGTTTTCTTTTTTATTGCTGTTTGTATGGTTACCTTCTAACTAAGGCAAGTGATTATAAAGTTTAAGTTTCTGTAGATAAAAAATGGAGTTGATTTGTGTCACAGGAGTGAGTAGGAAGAGCAGAAATGATGATGTGCCTGCAAGTGCTACAGCTTGCTGAAGTCTGGTTTGAGGCACAGGAAGGCTGAGTGAGGACGCAAAATACCAGCCATGAGCTCTTGACCTTGCCCAGCCTCAGATTCTTTCCCCAGAGAAAGATGTGAGTGTGGGAAGCATATGATAAAGTACCTTTTCTCCTTGTAAACGCCAGTCAACAATTATGTTCAAGTCTTTATGTGCCTGACACCATATTGGGTACTGGGTATGTTGGTGAGTGAGACAGACCCAACGTCCATTTCTTAAAAAAATTTTTATTTTTAATAAAGTTTTTTATCCGAAGCATACATCAAGATGTTCTGCTGTATTTAAAAATTGTGAAATGGGTCATACAGCCAAGCTAATTGCATTTATATCACTTCACTCAATTGCTGTCTTCCTTAACACAGATATTTACCCTGTATATTTCCCTCTGCTCACTGGTTTCTTTGTATACCAGAAGTTTTGGTATTTTGCACTTCTGGGTTTGTTTTTTTTTTGAGTTGGAGTCTCCCTGTGTCACCTAGACTGGAGTGCAGTGGCACGCTCCCGGCCACCGCAGCCTCGATCTGCTGGG